GCCTTCTGGGCCTTCAAGACACAGCCATGTACCCACCCCTGCAAGACACCACAGCCCTGACTGGCCGCCCAAGACCCCACTGACCACCATCTCCCAAACTGCGCCTCCATTGACCAAACCCTTGGCTCTCACTGCGAGAGTTGGTGCCACACACCCAAGTGTACCTGTACCACATACCTGTGTATCTGTATCACACACCTGAGTGTACCTGTAGCACACACCCGAGTGTACCTGTAGCACACCTGAGTGTACCTGTACCACACACCTGAGTGTACCTGTACCACACCTGAGTGTACCTGTATCACACACCTGAGTGTACCTGTACCACACCTGAGTGTACCTGTAGCACACACCTGTGTATCTGTATGACACACCTGAGTGTACCTGTACCACACCTGAGTGTATCTATACCACACACCTGAGTATACCTGTACCACACACCCGAGTGTACCTGTACCACACACCTGTGTATCTGTATCACACACCCGAGTGTACCTGTACCACATACCTGTGTATACCTGTACCACACCTGAGTGTACCTGTATCACACACCCGTGTACCTGTACCAGACACCCGAGTGTACCTGTACCACACACCCGAGTGTACCTGGACCACACCTGAGTGTACCTGTATCACACACCTGAGTGTACCTGTACCACACCTGAGTGTACCTGTAGCACACACCTGTGTATCTGTATGACACACCTGAGTGTACCTGTACCACACCTGAGTGTATCTATACCACACACCTGAGTATACCTGTACCACACACCCGAGTGTACCTGTAGCACACACCCGAGTGTACCTGTACCACACACCTGTGTATCTGTATCACACACCCGAGTGTACCTGTACCACATACCTGTGTATACCTGTACCACACCTGAGTGTACCTGTATCACACACCCGAGTGTACCTGTACCACACACCCGAGTGTACCTGTATCACACACCTGAGTGTACCTGTACACCTTAGTGTATCTGTAGCACACACCCGAGTGTACCTGTACCACATACCTGTGTATCTGTATCACACACCTGAGTGTACCTGTACACCTTAGTGTATCTGTATCACACACCCGAGTGTACCTGTACCACATACCTGTGTATCTGTATCACACACCTGAGTGTACCTGTAGCACACACCCGAGTGTACCTGTAGCACACCTGAGTGTACCTGTACCACACACCTGAGTGTACCTGTACCACACCTGAGTGTACCTGTATCACACACCTGAGTGTACCTGTACCACACCTGAGTGTACCTGTAGCACACACCTGTGTATCTGTATGACACACCTGAGTGTACCTGTACCACACCTGAGTGTATCTATACCACACACCTGAGTATACCTGTACCACACACCCGAGTGTACCTGTACCACACACCTGTGTATCTGTATCACACACCCGAGTGTACCTGTACCACATACCTGTGTATACCTGTACCACACCTGAGTGTACCTGTATCACACACCCGAGTGTACCTGTACCACACCCGAGTGTACCTGTATCACACACCCGTGTACCTGTACCAGACACCCGAGTGTACCTGTACCACACACCCGAGTGTACCTGGACCACACCTGAGTGTACCTGTATCACACACCTGAGTGTACCTGTACCACACCTGAGTGTACCTGTAGCACACACCTGTGTATCTGTATGACACACCTGAGTGTACCTGTACCACACCTGAGTGTATCTATACCACACACCTGAGTATACCTGTACCACACACCCGAGTGTACCTGTAGCACACACCCGAGTGTACCTGTACCACACACCTGTGTATCTGTATCACACACCCGAGTGTACCTGTACCACATACCTGTGTATACCTGTACCACACCTGAGTGTACCTGTATCACACACCCGAGTGTACCTGTACCACACACCCGAGTGTACCTGTATCACACACCTGAGTGTACCTGTACACCTTAGTGTATCTGTAGCACACACCCGAGTGTACCTGTACCACACACCCGAGTGTACCTGTAGCACATACCTGTGTATACCTGTACCACACCCGAGTGTACCTGTATCACACACCCGTGTACCTGTACCACACACCTGAGTGTACCTGTACACCTTAGTGTATCTGTAGCACACACCCGAGTGTACCTGTATCACACACCTGAGTGTACCTGTATCACACACCTGAGTGTACCTGTACCACACACCCGAGTGTACCTGTAGCACACACCTGAGTGTACCTGTAGCACACACCTGTGTATCTCTATGACACACCTGAGTGTACCTGTACCACACCTGAGTGTATCTATACCACACACCTGAGTGTACCTGTACCACACCCGAGTGTACCTGTAGCACACCTGAGTGCACCACACACCTGAGTCTCTACCACACACTTGAGAATATCTGTATCATACCTGAGTGTCTGTACCACACACCTGAGAGCACCTATATCCCACACCTGAGTGTATCTACACCACATACTTAAGAATGTCTGTACCACACACTTGCGGCACCTGCGTGGTGCAGTTGGTTAAGCGTCCGACTCTTGGTTTTGGCTCCGGTTGTGATCTCAGGGTTATGGGATCAAGTCCTGCATCCAGCTCTGTGCTGAGCATGGAGTCTGCTTAAGACTCTCTCTCCCTCTGCCCCTCTCCACTGTGCTCTTTCTCTAATAATCTAATACATAAATACTACAAATACTATAAATTCTAATAGATACATCTTAAAAAAAATTATATATATATACACACACACATCATACCTGAGTACCTGTCTGTAGCACCCAAGTGCATCTGTGTCCCATACCTGAGTACCTGTACCACACACCCGAGCATCTGTATCATACCTGTCCACACCACATCTACATGCATGTACCACAAACATAAGATTATCTGTACCGGTTTACACCACACCTGAGAGTATCTCGATCATTGTTTACCTGTACCATACACCTGAGAGTATCTGTGCCACACTCACGTGCATCTGTACTTAACCTACGCATGTCTGTACTCTGCATTTGAGTATTATTCATACCACACCGGAGTGTATCACACCCACATGCATCTATACCACACATCTGAGTGCATCTGTACTGTGCTCTTGTGTTTCTCTTCCCCGTGCCTGTGAGGTACTGAGAAGCCCACACTTTTATTAGAGGAACAGCCCTTCCTTCCTAACCAGAGAACATGAGACCCTTACCCATCCCCAATCAGACTGTATCTTTGTTAAAATTCTGCATACCTCTCCTTCCCCTTCCAGAATCAGCGGTGCAGGGCTCATCACCCATTTATACAGTTCCTTCTCTGTGGCTGACCCAGCAAGAGAACAGGTCTCTCAGTGTCCCCTGTGTGGCCTCCGTGGAGCTCAAACACCAACTGTGCACTAGGGGTAGGTGCCTCACCAAGGGCTCGAGCTGCTCTGAGGCCAGCTCAAGAGGGGGTCCAGGTGCAGGGAGAGGGGAGGGGCTCCCACGTGCACAGGACAGAGCACAGCGAGGCTGATGGGCAGCCACACGGGCCACCCTCACTCCAAGCTTGAGGTCTCTGCAGGCCTGGGTCAAGGGAGAAATGAGAGCAGCATCTTCCAAAGGCACCTCTTGTACCCACGGTGTAGGGAAGGGGAGCGGGCAGGCAGCAGAGGGGGTGCGTGGCCTGGGGGTGAGGGCATGGGGTTTATTAGCTGGGAGACATGGAGTCCAAGAAGTCTATGAGAACCTAGAGAGAAGCCACCTGAGCACCTCAATGTGTGGGCCTTGGGTCTGAAAGTCTCTTGGAGTCAGAATTTGGGGTATGGGGTGGGATGGAGCTCACTGAAATGGAACTTGGGGTCATGTGCTGGTGTTGCATCATGAGCATGTTGATGCCTGGAGAGACACCCAACATGGAAAGTGGTAGAAATCCCCAAAGACACCTCCACATGGGCCATCCCCCACTGAGCTCACAGAGCCAGTCCATGAGCCCCACAGATTCTTTATCCCAACCCCACATATTGTGTGATCAGTGGTGTTCTGACCTTTCTAATCAGATGCCACAGATAAACCCAGAAACGGCCCCCTCCCAACCAGCACAGGCCCCCAACAGGACCCCCGTGGGACACCAATTTCAGATGTCCCAGACCCATTTATAAATCACTGGACACCCATTCGAATGTCCTCGCAACCGCTGCCCCAAATTCTGGTTGGGGGAAGCACGCTAAAGAGAGGAAAGAGGCAGAAAACAGCCTCAAGTGATCCCGCGAGGGACAGGGTGAAGGGACTGGCTGTGTGTCAACAGCAGGCGACACGGACGACCACTCCAGCTGCCTGCACCCCACTTTCATGTTCGAAAGCCACAATTAACAGATCATTGCAGGGCAGGACTCAATCATCGTAAATAACAGAAACCCACACGCTTCTAAACCAAATCTGGATTTATATGTTCAAGGGAGTTTTTATGAAATTTAAACTAACTCCTGCCACAAAGGATGGCGGTATCCTTGGATTTCCCATAAGCAGACTCAGGTGGACACCCCAGAAGGTGTCCTGGTCCCCTGCGAGCTCCCATGTGAGTATATCTGACGCAGACTGGGACAGGGGGCGCATTTGCTTTATTGCTTATGTTGCATATCCAAACAAATACAATAAACCCCGTTTTAAAAAATGTAAGGCACATAAAAGCCTCTGTGCAGGTTCCGTATTATTTTTAAATTCCTAATGGCTAATAAAAGTATTTCCACTATAGGCCTGGAGCTATCTAGAAATGCACATGATGAATTTTTTGCATGCAGGACACCTGAAACATTATCATATCTTACCTCATGGCACAACTGAACAGTCTCAAATCAAATGTCTGTATGTGAATAATGATTATAACTATTGTTACGTTTGCAAAAACCTTATCAGCTTATCCACATATATACAGTCAGGTCCCCAAATGTTAATTATATAAAATCTAAAGGAAGAACAGTATCTAACTGCATCTGTGTCCCGTTTCCTTAAAGGGAGATTTGGCATTTTTAGTCCTCCTTCCATAAGTCATGTTGCTATTTGCAAAGGCCAGTGCTATACGATGCTGAAGACCATGGACAGATACTGTTCATATGACACTTGAATCCAGCCGTCCTGATCCGTATCGTAACGCCTGAATATATCGGTCAACCTCTGGGAAAGAAACAACAGGCATTTAGATCTTGATATTTAGTAAACAGAAGGAACAAAATGTATTTGGTAAAAAGACATTTAGGAACCAAAGTCACCCATGTCTCCAGACACCCCCAACTCTGACGGAAACCAGGGCAAGAAGGCATGGGTGGGTATCCCTGACCACCCTCAGGCCTGTCCATCATGGAGAATGCTGCGGTCTGGTGGGACAGCAGGGGGTGGGAGGATGAATACAGGAAGCTGGTCAAGAGGTCAGGGAGTGGGCTGTAGGCCCAACTCATCGATACACCACAGCCCTGGGTCCTGGCTGAGCCCTCTAGTCCCAGGCCCTGGTTTCCCAAGTGGTCCAGTGGTGAGCCTGGGTCCTCCCTTCCTTTTCTAAGACCAACGTCGTGGGGGCTCTTCCTCGAACGCTCACCTCTGCTCTGGCTACTTGCCACTCAGGCCACAGGGAAACCAGCCCTGACTCGGGCCCCTTCCTTACACCCAGCAGGTGAAGGCCCAGACACAGAACATGGAAGGGTAGGTCTCCCTATACCAGCCTCAGGGTCCCTCCTGACCACCCCAATCATAGGGCTCCACCCTAATCTGTTCACAAGCTTGATCCCCCCACAGCAGGTTAGGAGCAGAGGGGAGAGCCCTGCACCCAACAGCAGGGACAATTAGATGAGTGCCACCCCAGGTGAGGGGTGCTGGACAACTGCAGTAGGCCTGAGGAATCACACGTGATAAAAGGAAGCAGGCAGAATGCAATTCCCCAGGACAGGAGAAGAAAACAGTGCCCAGGTTCATCATGAGAGCAGACTGGCGCCCGGCCCTCTGGCGGCAGGTTAGACGGGGCGCCTGACGCAGCTGACTGTCCACTCGGGCGTTAGCCGGGAGCGTCCCAGCACGCTGAGACGCTAACGTCAAACCAACTACAAAAACACCAGCAGCAGGTAACGCTGGCTTAAAGAACAATGGGCAATTCTTCTTTGTACTTTAATTGTATTTTCCCAAGATTTCTACAGATTTTCGTGTTCTTTTGTAAAAAATCATTTTTAAAAAGCCTTTCTCTTTTTGTAGAAAGGCAGATGAAGGAAAACATTTTTGAGGATATTTTACCTGTGGCCTGCAGCTTTTCGTTTACATTCCCCACCTCTGTCCAGTGTTTAGGGTCACTCGGGAAGGGTGGGTGGGACCAGGACTGGCAGTCAGGCCTCCAGCTCAGCATGGAGCCAGGGGCCAGCGGCTGCTGCAAGACAGACTCCTCCTGGCTGGCCTGTCCTCAGCCCAGAGGTGTGCGGAGGCACTGGGCGAGCTTCTCGTGGGACTCAGATCACGTTACCTCAGCTACTGAAAGCCTACACTCGATGACCTTTGCTTAAGAAGAAAGGATCAGATGTTTACTTACGGGACATAACCTCAAATGAAAACCCTAACCTTAGAGCAATTTAGATGCAGACAATAATGAGACTTATACACTACATCGTTTTCTAAAGTGTTCAGACGACACTGCCAATGGGGTGGGATGAGATGGGGTAAGGCTCTCCCCATTTCAGGAAGCCAAGACGCAAATGTTAACAGACCTGGCTCTCCAACGAGGCCTTGAACAACAGGGACTGGGCTTTCCCCAGACTCACTGTACTTAGCAGGCCACAGAAATTTCACTTTTACTGACCTAGGATTCTAATGGAAAAAAACCCGAGAAAGTTTCTCAAAATTCCAAATTATATTTAAAAACTTCGGACTGTTCACATCTCTCAGTGGGCTGACAAGAGGTAACCCTAACCTGGATTCAAACTACAAGGACTTCTCTTTATGGAAAAAACATCTGCCTTCCACAAATGCAATCTGTGTCAGTGTTAAGGGCTGGGGGGTATTAGGATCACGGAAGTATGACATCAAACTGTCCACCAGCTGGTAAACTGTTGAACCTGAGCGATGGGCACACGAGTTCATCATTCTTTTGTCTCTCTCTTTTTTTTAATTTGTCATAATAAAAACTCTGAAAGCTATCTAAGGGTTTATCAGTTCACTGCATGTCTAAGCTTAAATCTAGGTAACCTGGATCCCTACCTAGAGACAGGAGCAGGGGGGCCTGTGTGGGCACGGCAGGGCAGGCTCGATTACTCCTGCCCTCTGTCTCTGGAAAGGATGCTCAAGGTCTGCACTTGTTTCTCTCATAGGTAAAGGAGCAAGGCCATAGGAGGGAGATGTGAGGTGCCGGGGTCAGGGGGATTCACGAGCTCCACCAGAAGCTCCTTGGCTCTAACACCTGAATGAGGCGCCAGGTCCTGTCTTGGAACTTCCCTCACACAAAAAGGCAGGGCACAGTAAAGATCACGATGGAAAATTTACCCATTTCCTCAGAATGAAAATACAACAAAAATACCAGAGTATACATGTAAATAACCCACTCGATTTAGAAAACACGACCTCATTCGAAGGGACTGCTCTATAATACAGCTGACCCTTGAACGCAGGGTTAGGGGCAATGAACCCTGGAGCAGTCAAAATGGCTAACAGACACATGAAAAAATGTTCATCATCATTAGCCATCAGGGAAATCCAAATCAAAACCACATTGAGATACCACCTTACACCAGTGAGAATGGCAAAAATGGACAGGGAAAGAAACAACAAATGTTGGAGAGGTTGTGGAGAAAGGGGAACCCTCTTACACTGTTGGTGGGAATGCAAGTTGGTACAGCCACTTTGGAAAACAGTGTGGAGGTTCCTCAGACAGTTAAAAATAGAGCTACCCTATGACCCAGCAATTGCACTCTTGGGTATTTACCCCAAAGACACAGATGTAGTGAAAAGAAGGGCCATATGCACCCCAATGTTCATAGCAGCAATGTCCGCGATAGCCAAACTGTGGAAAGAGCCGAGACACCCTTCAACAGATGAATGGATAAAGAAGATGTGGTCCATATATACAATGAAATATTACTCAGCCATCAGAAAGGATGAATACCCAACATTTACATCAACATGGATGGGACTGGAGGAGATTATGCTAAGTGAAGTAAGTCAAGCAGAGAAAGTCAATTATCATATGGTTTCACTTATTTGTGGAACATAAGGAATAGCGTGGAGGACACTAGGAGAAGGAAGGGAAAAACGAGGCGGGGGGAATTGGAGGGAGAGATGAACCATGAGAGACTATGGACTCTGAGAAACAAACAGGGTTTTAGAGGGGAGGGGGGGAGGGGGGATGGGTTAGCCCGGTGATGGGTATTAAGGAGGGCATATACTGCATGGAGCACTGGGTGTTATACGAAAACAATGGATCGTGGATCACCACATCAAAAACTAATGATGTATTGTATGGTGACTAACATAACATAATAAAATTAAAAAAAAATCCACATATAACTATGATGCCCCAAAATGTAACTACTAACAGCTTACTGTTGACCAAGTCTTACCAATTAACAGTCAATTCACACTTACTTTGTACATTATATGTATTACGCATTATGTACATATTCTTACAATAAAGTAAGCTAGGAAAAAGAAAATGTTAAGAAAATTGTAAGGAAAATACATTTTCAGCACACTACCATATTTATCAAAAAAAAGTCTGCCTATGAACGGCCTGCATAGTTGGGCCATATGCTGCTCAAGGGTCAGCGGTATTTCCACGGGGAGAAAGAGCACTGCGGGCCATACTTCCGTGTAATAGAGTTACACCTTCTCCACAGACAAGACTAACTTGTATAAGCCCCGAAAACTGACTTTACTCCATTAAATCGCTAATTCCAGAATGGCACCTCCCTCTTCCTCTGCTTTCGCGGATACTCCCTGCCTGCTCCACCTCTCCGCTCATGGTGAGCCCCCATGGAACCCCCATTACCTGCAAGACGATGCAGCCCTGGATGAAGTCGTCAAATGCGATCTGCCCCCGTCCTTGTCTGTCGAACTTGCGAATGAGGATGTCGTGAAACTGGTCAGAGAGCCGGTACCCTTGAAGAGGAGAATGAGGATGAACAGAGGGCCAGGAGAGTGGACATTCCCATCAACATCCACGTCCTCCTTCCAAAAGGCCCCACAGCCTCTGACATCAGGTGATAACAAATGACCGAGGCTGGGGTGGGAGACTCGAGGCACAAAATCATTCATATGCACTCTGGGAACGAAGCCATCATTCTGCAATGCGCCCCGCCTACAGTCCCATGAATGGCCGACATGAAGACTACCCCCTCTTTCTGGAAGGGTGAGTGTTACTCGGAGGCCAGCGCTGCCAGGCGCAGCAGGTCATTAATGTGAGCTCACTCGTTCACATCAAGTATACTCACCCCACAGTGCTGCACCCCAAAAATCACCCCGCAGGGCAGCCCAGCTTCGTTGTGAAGTTTTCGTTTTACAAATGGTTTCATTTTACATTTGAAAGATTGTATCACTGAAGGCTTCCAAATAAACAAAATGTAAACTCAGGGAAGTAGCAGATTCATTGATGGGTACTCCCCTCTATAAATTAGCACACTGACATTAGGAAATGAAAGATTACAAGGAGCAAGGCAGCCTCCTAAAGTTCACAACCACTCAAGGGTCATCCAATGGTTTCTCTCCAGACTGCACAAATGTTATGACAAAGAGTCACTGATGCCACCTTCAACTCACTGAATGTCTTGGAAAGGTCTCCAGCAGGGAGGTGGTTCTGAAGATGCAGGGACACAGCGGCCACTAGCCTGTGGGACACCTCTCAGGGCCACTCTAAACAAGGATACCTACTTCCCTCCTAATCCCACTACCTGTGTGACTGTGGTGTCCTTACTTATTCAGGAGACAAGATCCAGGGGCCAAAGTATTTTTACCGGTTTTCCGTCCTGTTGGAATCTTTGCGAGGATGTATGTACACCTATCATCTGAGTGAATTTCATAGTTAATAACTTGCAGAAACACTTACTTTTCCAAAAAAAAGATTCAAACATGCACACACATGACAGTACCTTCCAGAGTGGTCAGCATACTCTATCCATCTGTGACTTAAATCCAGGGCCCCCTTCCCTGCCAGCTGAGTAGAAGACAGGATCCCTGACTTAAAAAAAAAAAGAGACAACAGGTCCTGGATGGGGGTCACACCCCCAGCCCCTCTGAGTCTCCTCTCCTCACACCTGGTACCTGTGCCTGTGGACAGGTAAGGAAGAGGCCCAGGCTGGTCAGGGCTGAGCTCATCCAGGGCGTAGACAGCAGATGATGGCCATCGCTGTGGCAGTCTCCCGCCCAGACATCCACAATCTCTGCAGACCACGTAAGCAAGTTCTATCATCCCTGGGATTAGCTTCCAATTTCCCCGGTCCTCAATATTATCGTAGCGAGAACAAAACCAACAGAAGTCAGACTAGAAAAATGAATGATGAACAAACAACCTATAAAAGAGACATTTACATAAGAAGCAAACTCTGAGAGCAGACTCTTCTCTAAGAATTTTCTTCAGTGAAAATCCATGTCATGATAACCCCACCCTCGTAAATTAAGAGGATGTGCCCTCTGGAAATGCAAATCAAAACCACAATGAGGTGGCTCACACCTGTCAGAAGGGCTGGTATCAAAAAGACTAGAAATGCCACATGTTGGCAAGGATGTGGAGACAAGAAACCCTCGTGCACTGTTGGTGGGAATGCACACTGGTGCAGCCACCCTTGAATCAGTATGGACGTTCCTCAAAAAGTTAAAAATAGAGCTACCACATGATCCAATAATCCTACTACTGGGTATTTACCCAAAGAAAACAAACACACTGATACGAAAAGATATTTGCACCCCCACGTTCACTGCAGCATTATCTACAATAGCCAGGATATGGAAGCAGCCCAAGTAACGGACTGATGGATGGATAAAGAGGTAGTGTGCGCATGCACACACCGGAATATTAGGCAGCCATAAAAAAGGATGAGCGCTTGCCATTGGCAACAATATGGATGGACCTAGAGTGCATTATGCTAAAAAATAAGTCAGAGAAAGACCAATACCAGATGATTTCACTTATATGTGGGATCTAATAATAAAACAAATGAAGAAACAAAATAGAAACAGACTCGTAAGTACAGAGAACCGGTGGTGGCCAGAGAGGAGGGGGTAGGGGGATGGGAGAAATGGGTGAAGGGGATTAAGAAGTACAAACTTCAGATGATAAAACAGTAAGTCCAGCGATGAAAGTACAGCCTAGGGAACAGAGTCAATAATAATACTGTGACAACACCATATGGTGACAGATGGCAACTGCACTAGTCGTGGTGAGTGCTAACGGAGAGCGCTGTCGAATCTCCATGTTGTAGGCCTGAAACTAACATAACATTTATGTCAACTATACTTCATTTAAATGGAAGAAAAGAAACGGAGGTGCCCTCTGTGTGCAGCTCCCCTGGCTTGTGACCCCCGTGAGCATCAGCCCCTGCTGGACCTGACGTGCGGGCCACAGGGCCACACCCTGACCTTAGGAGAGTGAGGTTCTCTCCTGACAACTAACAAGCACAGGATTGTTAGTTGTATGGGAGGGATGGTGACAGCCCTCTACAGAGTGGTCCTGGGGCTGGAAGGAGCTGGAGGCCTGGCTGGCCTGAAGACCCCACGAGTCACCAACTGCCTATTCCCAGCACCCCCATACGACAGCACATCTTCACAAACCTGGACGCTAACCAGTAACTACTCTTCAAGGGACAGAAACTGCAGCAAGGGACAGACCTGGGACAGGACACCAACCCGTGTCTATAACCAGCCAAAGGCATGAAAAGGGTGGGGGCTGCTTGTGGACCTGCCGGGACCCTAACGCAAATGGGCTACTAATTTTTAGGGTGGGTCCACAGCATTGATTTGGTGAGCTAACGTCCACACCTTCCAGGGATGCAGAATAAAGCATGCTGGGCTAACACCACACAGGTCTTGTATTCCTTGCCACATGACCTCCATGACCCTGAAGCCATAGTAGGGACTCAGAGGCCAGAGAGGCCGGGGCACTGCCCGCCTCAGAGCTCCCACCGTGAGCTCTAAGGACCCAGTGGGCCACGGGCACGAAGGAAAGAGAGGGCTCTGGGCCTGACAACGTTAGAAAGTGCCGTGTTCCCTGACACCTGAGGTCACTTGTCTGGATGTAATTCACAGGACCCAGGTTCCTCCCAAGCTGTCCTCGGCCCAGTCAGGCCTCCAGCTCCTTCCAGCTCCAGGACCACTCTCTGTAGAGGGCTGCCACCATCCTTTCCATATGTCCCTACCCGTTCCCCTGTCTAAGGGCAGAGCAAAGTCAGCTGGGTTCCCAGTCTCAATGCAGAGAACCTGAGGTCAAGTCCTGCCCTAATCTTGACCCACACCTAGTGAGTGAGTTGAGAACACAAACTTCCTATGGAGTCCCAGAACCTCTAACTGACCACCACAGGAATTCATAAGGAAAGAAAGGAAAAAGAAAGAGAAGACAGTCAAAAAGTGCATGCCCAAAGGAAAAGGGGTAGAAGTTAACAACACGTTAACATGAGAATTAAGATGTACTTTGTATTATTAAAACTCAAAATACCTACAAGTTCATTAGTACATTATAATAACATAGTACATTATAGAAAAAATAGTACATTATAAACTAACTTGCCTGATTTTTTTTTCTAGAAGGTATTCATAAGCAGTCTTTCAAGCAAAATGTAGCAGGAGTTTTGTAATAGGGCCCCAGTAAACGGAGGGCTGAGTGAGATCATCCCAAACACACCAGAATCTGGGTGTAACTCCCACAAGCCTTGGACAAGTCTTCCATGTGCGTGTTCCCTCCACACACACAAAACCCCAACACCCTCTCAGACCCACACACCAGCATCAGAAGGCCCACTGACCCACCCTGGCAAGGCTGGGCAGACACCCCTGGTGGCACGGCACACTTGGGCTGACATGCACTTGAGAATGGCAGCCTGAACGCCTAGTATCGCTGTGCCTGAGGCAAGCAACTGGTATTGCCACTTACAGAATCATCTCCTACAAGTATGTGATCGTCTTGCTGTGTGTTGTGATGTATCATGAATTATAAGCTGCCGGACGTTTTATTTTCCCTTATTCACGTGAAACTGCTTCCAAAGCCATCACATTCTCAATGTGCATGTCACACCACTCCATTTCACAAATGATAAACGATTGCATAGCCTGTATCTCATTTTGGATGGAAAAAAACACATAAAGTCTCCAAGTCAAATATAAGCCTTCATGATATAAATAATATCAAGGTATAAATCAGTATGATGTCAACAAAAATTTCAGTTAAAAAATCAGTAAATTGAGGGGCACCTGGGTAGCTCAGTGGGTTAAGCATCAGACTCTTGATTTCACCTCAGGTCATGATCTCAGGGTAGTGGGATCGATCCCCAAGTCAGTCTCTGCGCTGGGCGTGGAGCCTGCTTAAGATTTCTTTCCCCCTCTGCCCCTCCCCCACTCTCAAAAAAAATCAATAAATTGACCAAAGTAAAAAAAGTTAATGACACCAAAATGGCCTCCAAAATGAAATACGCTACACAATCAAGATAAGTGAATTACCAAAACCTGAGAGTGCTTGCTTGAGCTCGTTCTTGTCAATCATCCCAGAGTTGTCCCTGTCATAGGTGCGGAAGACGTTCTGCCAGTCTGTGATGTACTTCCAGACGCCAGTGAACTCATTGAAGTTCACGCCAGCCTTGTTCTCTCGGTCAAACATGGCTGAGACAGAAAGGAACATGAGTGGTACACAGTAGCTGGTAACTCAAGGTTAGCTGGCAAGCAGCTCAATCCCAGCACAGCCACTCCCACACTTCCCTCGGGGCCAGCCCCGTGCTTAGCCAGCAGATGCCCAAGTGTTGGTAAGAAATGCTCATTCGTTGATGGGAGGGCTGGATCTCCTCTGCTGGGTGGTTACCCAGCCACAGCCCCTAAACCACCTGAGACAGACGTGAGGCACACAGTAAAGAAAGTGCAAGAAAACACACCCGCAGACCCACAGCAGAAATAACGCTTGACACAGAAGTAGCCTCTACAGAAACACGATGCCTGGAGGGTGCTCTTGCTTTGTCAGGAAGAAACGGAGGTTCAGAGTGAAGTAGCCACCTCCACTCTCCCAGCTCCTAATTCAGCTCCTTCCTTTCTCCAAGAGGACCTACAACCACCAGTGCAGGCCCACTGCAGTGAGAAAAAGACCCTACTGGCTTTAGATTTTAGTTTTTTTCAGTAAGACCTGCTTTTCATTAAAAAAATCAGCCTAAGGGTGCCTGGATGGCTCAGTCAGTTAAGCCTCCAACTCCTGATTGCAGCTCAGGTCATGATCTCAGGGTCATGGGATCCAGCTGCGTTGAGCTCTGCACTTAGCGGGGAGTCTGCTTCTCTCCTTCTCTCTCCCCCAAATAAACACATACATACATAAATCAATCAATCAATCTTTGAAAAAAAAAACAAAATCAGCCTAATTCCAGGTCCAAATATGAAAGAATCTATAACTGTATTTATATATAATGGCAAAATGGTGAAAAATATACATAAAAACTGTCTGTACTCCTGCTACCAAGAAAAAAATCACTTGGTCCCTTTCACGTAAAGAAGCCAATATAAGACTGAAACAGGAGCGCTCTTGGTTGCTCAGAAGTACACTGTAATTCAGTGAAAGCTCACATAAGGGAAAAATGAGGTCAGAAACCGAGCATCAGTGTTTCCACCAGTCAACAACCATGCAAGATATGGACGGTGTGTGAAACGTGCTGGTCCTGTATGTACGTGAACTCTTCAGAACCGGGAACTCAAGCTGAAGTGCTCGGCCAGGAGGGCAGGGTGAGGGGAACAAGGCAGAAAGCACAACCTGCATCCAAGCAGGACAGGAGTCTGCCTGCGCCTTTACTTACATATGATTGACCTGACAGTCACTGGATTAAATGGAGTCCATGTGCCTGAAAATAAATGACAGGAAACAGTCAGAGAAAATAGTTTTCACAGCAAGCTCTAAGATTCTAATCTGTAACATCAGTAGCTAACGACAGTAACTTGCTGTTCAAGGAAGACCTTGGGACCACAGTTCTCAGCAGGGACATAGTCCCCAGGGGACATTTTTGGTTGCCATGACCACCGGGGGCTGTAAGCATGTCGTCTTTTGGGTTCGGTCCCTCACTGTGCAGGAGTCCCTCAGGCCCCAACAGACATACATTCAAAGCTGTTTATAATGACATGAGGCCGGGGACTCGCTCTCGTTTACTACATAAACAAGATATGGTTTTATAGTATTTTTTAATTTTTATTTCTTTATTTTTTTTACAGTGTGGATCCCAACAAGGGGCGTGAACTCACGACCCTGAGAATCAAGACCTGAGCTGAGATCAAGCGTCGGACACACACAACCGACTGAGCCACCCAGGTGCTCCTGGTTTTACAGCATTTTAATATACACTCTATTTTCCAGGAATGCAGCCACCAGGTAAGTTGAGAAGCATACTCAAAAACATACCATAAAACCATGCCATAAAAATTTTCTCCTAAAATTATAGTTTGAGCATATTATTTTCATTGAGAGTGTGATTCACTTCAGAATAATAATGGGGATATTCGGGGCACCTGGGTGGCTCGGCAGTTAAGCGTCTGCCTTCGGCTCGGGTCCTGGGATTGAGCCCCACATCAGGCTCCCTGCTTGGCGGGAAGCCTGCTTCTCCTTCTCCCCCTGCTTGTGTTCCCTCTCTCGCTGTGTCTCTCTCTGTCAAATAAATAAATACAATCTTTAAAAAAAAAAAAATGGGGCTATTATCAAGTATTTGTTATAAAGGGGATTGTTGAATCTGATAGAACCATTTATCAACTGGTAATGAAATGTTCACTAGATACCTTAGATACCCTTATGCCTCAAAATCTGTTTTCAGAGTAATTTATACCATTATCAATTTTTATACTCACTAAAAACAAAGTGTAAAAATATTTTTAATGTGGAGGGAAAGCAGTGTCTCTCCCCACATCCCACTTATATAAAACCTCATATTTTCTTCTATATATAAAACTGTTTTCGCCCCCCGCCCCTGCCCCAAAATCCATCCCCTGACCTCACATAAAGTGACCTTTCATTCAAGTTTGAGGCCTATTTGGATGTGGGTGCTGGGCAGGAGAGTCTGAAGGGTACTACCCCTTACACTCTACCACACTGGGCTTCCCACCACAGATCTAGAGGGCCATGCCCTCTAGTCAGGGCTCATGCACATGCTTCTCTACACCTCAAGTGTGGCCTCCCAACACATGCACACCCTTCACCACTCACCTCTCCTGTAAGCCACAGGAAAAATGTGTCCCCAGGAGAGCTTTCCCTGAGCGCCCACATTGCCCCCAATCCCTACACATGGGGGCTAGATAAGCATCTTCTGCAGGCTTCAAGACATTTGGGGAGGGAGAGTGGGCAGAAGCCTGTATATAAAGCTATTAGGAAAGGTATTATTGAAAACTATGTTACAAAGAACCCAACAGAAAGGAAAATTCTAAACACAGAGAGGGTTACTTCTTTGCTGTTTGTTTTTCCCTCCTTCACACCTAGCTGCTGCAAGCCCTGAACTGCTCTTCCACAGGAGATAGCCCAGCACTGACTAGAAACACCAGGAACCCAATGCACCTGTTGGAGCCTTTCCCTGGCCCTGTTTTCCTGTCTCCCCTCCACCTGATACAGGCTGATGAGCCCTCAATCAGTGAAAGTAAAGGCAGCCTCCACAGTCCATCCTGACTGTGAGCAGAAGAAGCATCATGGGGCCGTCTCTGCAAATGACTTGGCCAGAGAAGTTTGAAACAAAAGCAACACAAGTGCAACAGTTAAGTAATGTAGAAACATGCGCATCTGCCGTGGTGAGGACCCGGTGCCACCTGGACAGGCATGCATGGAATACCCAGAGAGTGCACCCCTGAGGTGACCCAGGGGAACCAGCACCCATGCTGGAGGATTCTAAGGATGGCAGGGGTCCCAGGCTCAGGAGAGCAATAGGTCATCCTGAGCTGAGTCAAGGATGGAGAGAGGCTGCCCTCTAGCACGAGACCCACAGGTTTTCTGCAGGGCTGCTGTGCAAGGGAAGGTGGAGGCAGGCTCCTCTGCTCATCCTTCTTGTTACCCAAATGGGGCCAGACTCTCCAAAGAAACCAAGGGATAATAACAGCCAACAGTTAATTGACTAGTTATCATGTACAGGTCCTGTGGCCTGGTTCTCAGAATGAACATCAAAGCTCAACAACTCACAGCGAAGCCAAAATACTACAACATGTAGACTTTGGGGGCAAAAACAATAAATAAATATAATTTGAAAATAAATAAAAAATAAAAATCAGACTTTTAAAAATGTCATCACTGGTGATCTCTTTCCACTTTACTTCATCAGACCAGGAACTGCCAGCCCTCCGGGCTTTTCTACACAGAGGAGGTGTAGCGGGTCCTGCAGGGCTGGGCACCAAGCACTGGCATTCAATGCACAGAACTTGTAAGACTTTGGTGCCTCTTCAGGTTCAGCAAAATTCCATACTTTCCCAGTTTTCTTCAGTTACAGCTTCAAATAGCACAACTAGAAATATGGCCTTTCTGAAAAGCAATCTAAATATTGATCAACAGCATTAATGATGCCTATACCCCCTGATGTGATAAATGTCACTTCTAAAAACTGGTTCTATGAAATTTGGAGTCAAATTACTACAGTATTTACATTAGTGAAAATTAGAAACAATCTAAATGACTAAGTGAAACACTGTAAACTCAATCCCGGTAGATACATTGTCTCCCAGTTCTGTACCAGGCAGATGCATGATCTAGTGGACTGGGGCTTGGCTCAAGGAGGAAAAGGATCTAAACTTCCAGTCTTCCTATTTTTAGATCCAAAGAAACTGGGGCCAGAAGTGCGATACACCCAAGGTTACAGGGTAACTTGTCAGTAAAGCCAGGTCCACCAAATCCCAACTTTCTTTTGTTTCTATCTGAAACTCTGGCTGGGCGTGTTTCTGGAAAGAGCAGACAGGACAGGCTGTACTAGGGGTCCTCAAGAACTCCTTCAGGCTCCATGACTCACTAAGACTCCAATACTCAGTCAGTTTGTTACAATGAAAGGACAGAGTAAAATCAATAGGGGGAAAAGGCACCAGGAGGAGTCCAGTGGACACCAGTGCTGCCCAGGACGTGCTTACTCCTTCAGCTACGAGTTGTGAGGACACAGGCCAAGTACTGTCCACTAGGGAAGCTCCCATGTCTAGAGTCCAGGGCTTCTCTTGGGAGTCCATCATGGAAGCTCCAGATATCCAGAGGGAAACCAGGTGTTTGCCATAAATCCTACTATTAGCATCAACTATCCAGGCAAACAGGTATCATACAGCTCGAGGCCCTTGGTGGACAAAACACTCTTCTCAGTCAAAACATCACAGGAGGTAGCCAGCCATCAAAGCCCTTCCTAGGAAGGAGCGGACTCTGAGCAATCCAGGCCTGCTGAGTGAGTCCTTCCCCACACACAGACAGAAGGAAGCTGAAGGTAAATCTCTAAAGCAGCAAACACCCTTACCCACAAAACTGGGCCTGTGGGGGCAGGAGCAGCGATGGGATCAGAAGCACGGTCTGCAGGGAACTAACTGTCGCTTATATGGTCTGATTTCCCTCATTTCCTCTTAATATGGGATCCCCAAGAGAGCTGGAACTCTATTTTGATAAAAATACCTTAAAAAGAATATATGGATTATTTTTAAAGTGCAGGTAAAAAATGTCTCCACAAAATACCTACATAGATTATGTGAAGGCAAACCTGCAGAAGCACAAAAGAGAGGCTTGAGCAAAATTAAATTCCTGCAATTCTAAGAAATATCATGCAAGTTAAAAAAAAAAAAAAGGTACCAAACTGAGATAGTTTATGACATGTCATTTCAAAAGAAGGCAAGAGAACAGTCTTCTGTCTTTCTTCATACCTGTTAACCACACACCTTCCTGAGAGCAGTCAGTTTTAGAAGCTTTCCTATGGAAAAAAGTCTTATAAAGGACTCAGTGTATGGGACCCACAAGTAACTCTTTCAGGATGGTTTCAACTACATTTTAGCAGAGAGCACACACACACACACACACACAGATTTAATTAAAGTGAGAAACCATGCAAGTCTGAAACTTCAGTTTTCCCACCAGTAATAGACTAAGTAAACCAACGTCCTGAAATAGCCTAATATTCCATCCAGTTCTAATATGAAAACAGAAGCCCATTCCTGGGAGAACAATTAGAAGTCAAAATAATGTCAATTGCATTAGCTCTCAGAAGTCAAGGGGAGTGGAGAGGACCAGGACGGGCCCACCCAGTGGCCAGTTTCCACGCACACACTACACCTCTGCACAGGAGCCCGGCCTGGCCTCCTTCAGGAAGTGGCCTTTCTAGTGGCAGAGACAGCTACCACAATGATCACAAGATCGGAGTGTCAAGGACACTACAGCGATGCCACAGTGACTCAACAGCAGGCACATCCCTCCAGGCAGAAAACCTGGAACTCGGGATGTACACGGCTTCAGCTTACATCAATGCAGGAGTACTGAACCCATGCAAGGGGGTGGACACCACCACAGAGACAGGTGGGAAGACACCGGGGCTCAGCATGCTTTGAGTGCCTGTGAGCATAACATGAGCAGAAGCACCGAGGGGGACCAGCAACAGACATCCGGATTTAGATTCTGGCTCCACAGCTTGAGAGCTATAAGGGGTAACTCACCTACTCTCGGGATCTGCATCATTAATAACCTGCTTTACTGCAGAAAGAACTTAAAGAAATTTATAAAGATATCCATGGTAGAACAAAAATGAAGTAAATTTTAATTACGTTGGATGGGAAGAGAAAAGTAGGAGGATAAGAAAGTAAGGGATCTAAGACCAGGTCAGTAAAATTGACCTCTCAAAATTCTAAGTTCATGCTAGTGGCAAGCCACCAACTTAAATTTTTTAGCAGCTAATTTGAAGAGGAAAATGTAATTGGTTAAAAGATTCAGGGTTAATAAGATATAAACAAAACAAGACACAACAGCCACCAGAGGTGCTCAGAACACCAGAGATACCACGCTCCCACGGAGAAGGAGGACGGCTGCTTCCCGGGCACCCCTGGCTCAGAGGGCGTGCTGGCTGCGGGCCTGCCTCTCTCCAGGTTAACCGTGACTACATGCTTCGTGAGGCCAGTTCTTCCACGCCTCCAACAAAAGCTGAGGCAGGCCCACCGGCCAACTCAATACAAGTGCCTCCACAAAGACCACTGAGAGTCCCAACCATACTTACTAGCTGAGTTAAACTAGGTACCGATTTCAAAGTATCTCAGCAACAGTGAACAAAACATCCTCTAGGCAATTGTTAAAATTCACTCTCTTTTAAACAGGTTCCTGGTGGATATTTAGTAGTAGCTGAGTTCAAGATTATGTTCTGACAGAGTAAAGACCCGTATGCTTTAACGAGCTGAACTAAGGGCAGCACTGACACCCTCTCGTGAAAATACAGGAGCCTAACGCTATAGGTCAGACTAGGTGCCGCCACCACACCCCCAGGGCTCCCACAACATGCTGATCTGAGATTAGGTTTGTTACGTGCCCAGCACAGTGCCCCCATGCAATGGATGCTCAGTGAGTGGCAACTATCATCACCACCATCCCCTGAGCTGACCCCCTGGCCAGTAACAATACTACTATACTTTCAGCTGACAACACTGAACCCTGCTATGTGCCGGGCACTGTACCAAGCACTCTCCATGCATTTTCTCCAACCACCCACCCAGAAAGGTCAAGTCCTTGCCCAAGGTCACATTCCTAGAACTGGCAGAGCCAGGATTTGAATCCAGACAGGAGCCCCCAGGGTGGACACCATCACGCTAATGAGGTCAGAGTGTGCCCATCACTCCCAGTGGACGTTTCACACAAACCCCAAACCTGGGTGGCACTCTCAAAACTTCAAGCAAACAGACAAAAAGGTGTCCAAATGGACATGGGTCATGAACTGGTCCTCACTTACTGGAAAAGAACTCAAAAGGAATGCCTGCAAAGCATGACCCCCGAGGGCACTCTGACTGCAGTGGCCACCCTCTTTAATATATGATGAGAAAACATCTGTTTGGTCAACGATTAGAAAGTTTTTTTGTTTTCTGAGAGAGAGAGAGTGAGCGTGCTTGCATGGGGGTGGGGTAGGGGGGCTCGATCTCACGACCCTGAGATCATGACTTCAGCCGAAATCAAGAGTCAGACATTTAACTAAGCCACTCAGGTGCCCCAACACTTAGAAAGTTTTAAGCCAGATTTGCCAGATCACAGCCTACTGGATTCCAGTTTGTTTTGGCATCTTTCTAGTAGTAACCCTGTCTTCTACTCCTCTAAGTGTAACTCAAGCTTTGGAGACACAAAAAATGGAAAGGAGTTAATAACGAGAAAAATCAAGAAGGCACAACCATCGAAGCAGAAGTAAAGAGATTTCTTAGTTTCCTGAACACAGCTACATAAATACACACGAAGTCATACACCAATACCTGCGGCCCAAGTGTTAAATACTGGAAAAAGAAGTCAGTACTACCTACTGTTCTTTAGACATATTAATCTGCAAACACAAATCCTGCACTTCACGCAAACCATGACGCAGTGACAAGACTAACACTAAATGTCTGGTATGTGCGACAAGGAGGGTAAGCACACTCCTTTAACCACCCGATATCCAGCACTGTGAAGCAGTGCTGGCATCCTTACTCTTTCCAGAACATCAAACTGCTGCCCACTAATAAAAATGGGTCTTTCGACATCTTAGAATCAACCCCTTTCTACCTTAAATGGCACACCTCTGGAAAGACAAGCTACAAATCTAAGAACCAGAAAAGACAGTGGCATCTGAGGGACTCTTAAAAAGGGCAAAGCAGCTGGGTATTTAATGAAGTAAAAGGTCTCAAACAGTACTTCCACGGATTACTTATGCTGAAACCAGCAAGAACAGAACTCCTCGGAGAGCCCCCAACACACCGCCACACAAGAGCCATGATCCCGTATCCCTGTCTGAACACCTAGTATTCCCCCACTGATAAGACCAGCCTCCCACAGTCCAACTGCCAGCGCCACACCTCCGACGTCCCAATCACTTCCCCATGGTGCCCCCAGCACCTTGATGATCCTCTCCAGAGAGGTCACAAAGACGGGCCTACCTAAGAAAGTCAGTGATCTTCAACGTACCTTAAGTGTATCTGCTGTACAAAGCTAAGCTTCCTCTCCTTCCCGAAAACCTGCACCCCAGCCTCCATTTCTCAAGAAGCGCCTCCCTGCACCAGTCCGAGCTCAGCAAGGCGCTTGGAGCAGGACATCACTTGGCAAAATAAATCAAAAGCACCTCCACCACATGCCAGTAATAACAGTGCGGCCTTAACAACGCCTCTGCACCTGGAAAAAGAAACTGTTTACTACGGGTTGGTCGGGCTCAAAGTTCAGGAGAAGTCCGATGGCCCGGCCCCACTCACCATTGGACAGTGCTTGCTGAAGCTCGTTGTCCGAGATCACTCCGCTCCTGTCTTTATCAACCCTACAAAATCGAGAGCACTCAGGCTGGAGACTGAAAGTGCAGAACAAGCAAAGCATGGCAAACATGAACACGCAACGCTTGCGTTAACGCGGCATTCGCCCCGGCATGCCCCCTCCCACGGACCTTCCACTGCGCTCGGCTAGGACGTCTCACGCCCGCACTGCGCGGGGCAGTGAAACACGTGAGCGCCGTGTCTCCGCCCAGGCGCGCCACCGCCCAAGTCCACGCTGGTTCTCCGCGGAGACACCGAACCCCTCGTCTCTCTCCCTGCACCTTCTCGGGCCTTCCTCCTTCGTCTTCCTCGGCCAGTGAATTCCTCCCCGCCGCTTCCCCTCCTTCCACAAACAGCACAAAGCCTGCCTCAGGCAAGCCCGTCCCGGCCATGAGTCATTCGAGGCTCCGCCACTCATTCACGTGGGGGGACGACTCCGGCCGGAAGGCACTGCGGTGGCGGGCACCAGCTTCGTTGCCTGCCGCTGGCAACGTAACAGCGCAGAAGTGGCCTGTTTCTGTTCACCTCAAGCAAGCATCCCCAGGAGACCCCCCGGGAGCTGCGGGGGGGGCGGTGGAGGCCGCGACCCCCGAGCATCCGCAGCGGGCTCCGCACCCCCACAGGGCCCCGGCGGGAGGGAGGCGCCCAGGGGGCGGCAGCAGAGGGCTGGGGGCGTCGGGCAGGAGGCCGGGGAGAGATCCAAGGGAGCCAGGAAGCAGGCCCGGTCGCGGCGGGAGGACGAAGGGAAGCGGGAAGGAGGCGGAGGGCAGGCCCAAAGGAGCCAGGAAGGAGGCCGGCAGAGCCTCCTAAGCGCCCGGTGGCGCCGGGCCTCACCTCTGGAAGACGTTCCACAGGAAGCTCTGGTCCGGCAGCGCCGCGCCTCCAGCTGGGCCGGCCCCGGGGCCCGGGCGGTAGGAGTAGGCGGCCATGGGCCCAGGCGCACCGCAGGGCCGAGGTCCCCCGGGAACGCGAGAGGCCCGGGCGGCTCCACTTCCGCCTCTGCCGGGGCGGGGCCTGGCGCTCCGTCACTTCCGGGGCCACACGAAGGCGGTGTCTCCCCGCGGGCGGCCCGGTTGCTAGGCGACGCCCGGGGCTGGGCGGGTGCCCGCGGCGGCCGCCTCGGACTCGCGGAGCCGCGTGCGGAAGGCGCTCGGTCCGCAGGGCGGAGGGACAAGAGGCGCGGAAGGGCTCCCCTCGACCGTGTTTAATTCTTGCTCCAAGAAGTTCTGGAAGGGAGTGTGACCGAAGGGAAGAACACGCCTTCCCGGAGCGTTTCGGTCCCCCGTGCGTCGTCCTGTGGCGTCACCCGCCCCTCACCGGCGGCTCCGCCCGCTGGGGAGCCCCTGCCAGCTTCGGGGCGGCGCGTCCTGCGGGTCCTCCTCAGGGCCGGCGGCCGCGCTCGCCCGGCTTCCTGGTTCCGGGTCGCCAGGCGACGTGCGTGCGGACTCCGTCAGTTTCCCCGGGGGGACGAGGGCGCTGCGTGACGCCGGCTTCGCCGACAGGACTCCTCTCGAACCTCCTCAACAAGGCGGGGCTTTCCCACGCCTTAGTGAATTCGGGTGGTTTCTGAGCTTCCCCTCACAAAGTAGTCATGAGCCATCTTTTCTAGAACTTTCCGCAGCGCTGGGCCCCCCTTTCGTGGCTCCTCTTCGGTTCTAACCCCACAAAAGTAATAGCCAGGGTTTTGCGGCTTGCTGAAGCTCGTTGTCCGGTGCCACTCCGCCAATTGGCAGGGAAACCAGGTCGCGTGCCAGCGGCGGCCGCAGGCCCCGGCTCGCTCTCCCGCCCGTGTCCCACCTGGACCGCCTCGGCCCGCCCGCTGCAGGGCCCAGGAGCAGTCCGCTCTGCCTGCCTGTGGTGCCCGGCGTCTCTCGGGGAGGCGCGCTGCACCCGCGAGGCTCCCACCGCGTGCGGCCCTCAGGCCAGGCCTCCAGGCCAGCTGCGAAGTCCGCTCCCTTCTGATGAGAGAGCGCCGCCTGAGATCAGAGAGGCAGGCCCAGGCCTCCCTGAAGGCTGACTCCTAAAGGGGCGGTAATTACTAGGAAATGAGGGTTTAAGGAACATCCCGCGCCTGCCCGCACCCCTGTAGTCTACGGATGTACCATCAGTGCGGAAGGCTTCCTCAGACACCGGCCTGGGGCGGTCGGCCCAGCGGCGGTCCCTGCCTTCCCGTCAGCCCTCGTTTCTTTTTTTTTTAAGATTTTTATTTATTAGAGAGAGAATGAGAGACAGAGAGCATGAGAGGGAGGAGGGTCAGAGGGAGAAGCAGACTCCCCGCCGAGCAGGGAGCCCGATGCGGGACTCGATCCCGGGACTCCAGGATCACGACCTGAGCCGAAGGCAGTCGCTCAACCGACTGAGTCCCCCAGGCGCCCCCGTCTTCTCACTTTCTTCTTCTTCTTTTTTTTTTTTTTAAAGATTTTTATTTATTCATTTGAGAGAGAGAGAATGAGAGACAGAGAGCATGAGAGGAAGGAGGGTCAGAGGGAGAAGCAGACTCCCCGCCGAGCAGGAAGCCCGACGTGGGACTCGATCCCGGGACTCCGGGATCGTGACCCGAGCCGAAGGCAGCCGCCCAACCAACTGAGCCACCCAGGCGCCCCAGCCCTCGTTTCTAATGCGCCTCTGGCTCCCAGAGTCTGGACAGAACACGGCAGGTAGGCCGCAGCACCTGCGCCACGCTGTTAGGGCGGGCCCACGTCCTGCAGTCGTCGCTGTGAGCCACTGCCCCCGATGGGGAGGGCGTCGCCTGCTGTCCTGTCGCCCGGTTACAAAGATGCGCAGCCACAGGGGTGACCGCCTACTTGCCAACAGAAAGGCAGATCAGCCCCTGCCCAGTTCCACTGACTCAATCACTTAAAGTATTAATGCACTTGCCACTCTCCCCCCGCCTGTCTTGGGATTCAATTCCCTCCTAACCAGGTCTGTTCCAAGCTTTCCAAGTAGATGTAGTGCTCCCGGATCGGATGGGAGAGTAGAGATAACTGAAAGGCAACACTGCTCTCTTCCTCCTGGTAACGGTAGTCCGTAATGTCTAATGTTGGGGCCAGTTGGAAAATGCCTCTTTTATTATCCTTAGAATTTTTCTAAACATTGGCTCTTTCAGGGTCCTAGCATTCCTAACACTTCACAGTCCACCCTCTTGTTCATCTTATGTCTTTGGCATATAGTAAGCCCTCAACAAATGGATGACCAAGGAAGTTATGTGTCCATTCTTGACTGGCCAAAAGTTGATTCATAAGTACTTTTGGAATAAATCAAACCATCTTAGGAGTCTAAATTTTGGGGAAAACTTCTTAGAAAACACTCCTGACTCTATGGATACACAGCAAAGAAGGACCCAGATCCTTAAAAACTGCGGCTGTTCCTGTGCAAGCTCTGCTTTCCCTCTGCACAACGGATGTGGCAAGTGGGCACATTCCCATAGAAGAGGCTAGAGAATATGTTCCCTCTGGCTCGCCCAAGGCTTCCGCAACTTACTTGACCTGGGAAGTGGCATCTGGGCACGCAGACAGCTTCCCTGGGGCAGCTCTTGCCTGGACCGGGATCTGGGTGGAGGGGTGCCCTTCAGGCCGTGATGGAGCCTCACTCAGGCACCATTGGAATCAAAGGGCAGAGAAGGGCCAGGGAAGCTATGAAATCCCAGCGATCTCAGCAAGTATTGCCTGTTTCATCTCTTCCTCACATTGGGCAGTTTTCAGAAGATGAACGGGTGAGGTGGAGGCCAGGAGACCCACTGGGAGGCTGCTGACCACATTGTGTATGTATCCACACCAACATCTTTCCCTCTGAAGCCACTTTGATTCGTTGTTTGCGCCTGATTTTTTCATCAGGACCACCAGCGGCTTGCACTGTGACCTTTACATGCTAGAAAACTTCCCTGTCACTTTCCCTTTTACAGACTCTGGTGCAGAATTCTAGGAGACAGAGCCAACTGTGTCCAGGCCTCCTCTTCCTTTCCAACCAAGGTTCTTGTCAGAATTCAGTATGAAAGAGAATGACTTACCACTTTTTATTTAACTCAGGTGTCCTACTAAGTGGAGGTCAACTTATCATACGTGCTGTTTAATGTAAGATACTAGCAAATGTCTAGATTGGTGTTGGCCAACCGAACTGTCAAGGATGGGATTGCTCTGCTGTCCAGTGTGGGAGCCACTCGCCACATGTAGCTACTGAGCACTTGAAATGGATCAAGGTGCCTGGGGAATGGAATTTTAAGTTTTGTGTCATTTTAGTGACAGTTTAAGAATATTGTTCTCTTTTTTGCTATGGACAGTTTAAGAATATTGTTCTCTTTTTTGCTTCTTTGGATCCGTATTAGAAATCATCCACATCTCTCAGGTCAGCATCCTAGTTTTTTACCTTGATGCACATTTAAAAAAAAATTTCTCTGGTGTGTCAATTCCCCTACATGTGGGTTCTCTTAGAAACCTTAAACACACATTGTATAAAACATTTCCAGTATGAAATATTCTGTCCCACAGAAACTTGCATTTCCAGACCACCTACTCCCCAGTGGTTTTCTTGGTTTCAGAATGCTCATGAAAATGGTCTGCAGGTTGATTTTTGGTTGAGAAGCAGCAGACATAAGGAAGGCACTGCCCTCAGTTCTTTGAAACCAAACAGCCCTTCTGTTATCATGCTTCATGGACATGGCTTTGCCAGCTTTTCATTCATTGTCCCAACACTTAAATGATGCTTAAATGAAGTATTTATACTTCCACTTCTGCAAAATTCTTTGGCCATACTTTGTTTCATCTGCTGGTTGGGATGGAGGTCTGAGGTTGTCAGTCGTCTTTCCACCTGTTTTTTCTTCCTGAAAATCACCTCCTTCATGTTTGTTGAACCACATCATCCCCTGAACATATTACAAATACAGATTCTCAGGCCCAACCCCAGGACCTACTGAACCAGATGTCCTCGGTGGGGTCAGGAATTATTCAACAATCCTTCCAGGTGACTCTGATATACATGCAAGTCCCAGAACCACATTAGGGATGGCAAAAATGGGGTCTTTAAATTCTATCATTCCTTACTCATTTATCTGAAGGGATTCCTCTGTAAATACTTTTCCCAATCAACTAGGTTATCCTGCATGGCAATTTGTGGATAAAAGGCAGGATAACCGTTTCATTATTTTCCTTTCATTGTCCACTTTCATTGTCAGTAGTTAGTGCCCTAGTTATTTCCAAGAGTGATTAATTATGTTTTTGTTTGTTCAGTGTTGGCTGAGTTTTTAAACTACCATTATAAATTAACATACCATTTTTATTTTTTTAAAGATTTTATTTATTTATTTGACAGAGAGAGAGATAGCGAGAGCAGGAACACAAGCAGGGGGAGTGGGAGAGGGAGAAGCAGGCCTCCCGCCGAGCAGGGAGCCTGATGTGGGACTCAACCCCAGGACCCTGGGATCATGACCTGAGCCGAAGGCAGACGTTTAACGACTGAGCCACCCAGGCGCCCCAACATACTGTTTTTAATAGTCAATCCATGCCTATGGCGGGGGGAGAGAGGAGTGTTAAGCAGACACCACAATCCAGGTGCTTAGGAAAATGTGTGTGTGTGTTTGTTTAAAGAACAAAGACGACACCACAATCCAGGTGCTTAGAGCCCACTGCTATTGGGGCAGAGCTGGAAAATGTGTGCGTGTGTGTTTAAAGAACAAAGAAAAGGGGTGCCTGGGTGGCTCAGTCGGTTAAGTGTGGTTAAGCGTCTGCCTTGGGCTCAGGTCATGATCCCAGGGTCCTGGGATCGAGTCCCGCATCAGGCTCCCAGCTCAGCAGGGAGTCTGCTTCTCCCTCACCTTTTGCCTGCTGCTCCCCCTGCTCGTTTTCTCTGTCAAATAAATGAATAAAATATTAAAAATAAAAAAAATAAAGAACAAAGAAGGGGTGCCTGGGTGGCTCAGTTGTTTGCGTGTCTGCCTTGGCTCAGGTCACCATCTCAGGGTCCCTGGGTCGAGCCCCTGCTTGGCAGGGAGTCTGCTTCTCCCTCTCCCGCTCCTGATCTTTTTCTCAAATTAATAAAATCCTTTAAAAATACTAAATAATAATAATAAAAGAAGAAAAAATGTACACTTTACATTTCTATTCCAAATTTAGTAGGTTACTTCTATTTCTTTCTCAGAAAACAATCTGTTTTAGCATTAACAGTCACTAGCTTTAACTAATTTAACACTACACAATTTCAAAGTATGAACACCAATATTCCTACTAACAGTAAGACTGCTGATGAAGCATAAGGTTTCTTAGTTGGTTCCATTTA